TTGCCTTGCACGCGAGTTTTTATTCCCTTTTCCATACATTAACGGTGCGTTTGGATGAGGGAAGAAACTTGAAATTTTGACAAAAATCAGAATTTCTGAATTGTCATAAACTAATTCATGTGTTTTCATATAAATTAGAAAAAAAAACAAAGAAATCTAGAAATTCCCCTTGGGAAAAAAAATGGAATTTGGAAATAATAAATCTAAACTTTAAATTATATCTAAATAGTCTTTATTTCTAAAATTCCAAGATTATAAACGTTAAATTCCGTGTTTAAATTCATAAGCCAAATAAGAAACTTTACAAATTCTAAAACATTAATTTCTGTCATTTTAAATTCATTTATGAATTCCTCAATACTTTTAATTTTCCTCATCCAAAACACACAGTTTTGGAATATTGTTTTGTAAAATATATAAACAAGAATAGTCGCTCCAATACATATACCCGCATCGATCATGCCTTGTTTATTTCTTTGTTTAGTTAATTACTTAATCCCTTACCACTTGGATGAAGGGATTTGAAAGAAAGGATTTGGATTTGAAAATAAGGCTAAATTTGTTACAAAAACAAATACCATATTAGATGGAATGTATTTGAAATAACTAGAGTATATTTGAAATGGATTTGAAATTACTACATCCAAGGAATCATTGAAGGGAATATTGTGGGAATGATGTTGTGTAGAGATTTCTAAAAACTCTACAACCAAACTTTGAGAGTATAAATCACCTAGCAAGCTATATCTAATATGAAATCAAAGTAAGAGCGGAAGCATTAAATAAACTAAGGATTCATGCAAGTCTCATTTAGTCCCAATCTTTATAATTCTATGAAAGTGTGCACCAAAGACTCTCTAAATCTTATTTGAGAGAAAGATAAGATGTTCATACCCTTAGAGCGAATCTTGAAACCAAGAATGGTGCTCAAGTAGAGAGAGTGGTCATTTTGTTGTTGGCTCTCCCTTTGATGTTGATTCTCCACCTTGTAGCTCTCCAAATAGATACAAAGATATGCACATCCCCAAAGCTCTTCACCAAGGATTGAATGGGATGAGAGAATGAGTAAACAACAAGTGAAGAGTGGTGCTAGCACCCTCACTTGATGTGATAGATTGAAGGGGTTAGGGAGAGAAAGCTTGATGTTTTCTCTCTTCCAATTTCACCAACTTGAAAACCCTAGGATGATAAGATTCCATAGCTACACACTTATAGGATCAAAAATGTCTCAAGAGTGACAAAAATGCCCCCAAACCCTAGTGTAGCCACAACCCCCCTCCCTTTGTGTGTCATCTTTTGCTATCTTGGTCCAACACATTAATCCTATAATGTGTCACATATGTGTCTAAGTTTATACGGTCAAATCCATTTCGAATCATATCTTTAAAGTATTCTCTCTTCTTACTAAGAGCAAAGATTTCTTTTTGTACATTCACATGTCTCTGTATATACGTTGAGAATCCTGAGGAACACCTTTAAGTCACATCATTTTGATATGACCGTATAGTGCTCTTAAAGAAAAACAACATAAACACAAGACAACTGTGATGTCTTAGGTCTAAGGATTAATTTGCATTATCACAACTTAGAATTCTTTATTTGACACTTATGAGTAAGACTTCCATACAAGAATTCTAAAGTTGATCTCGTTCAGTGAACTCTATCTTCCATAGAGCACTTACACATCTGTCTCAGTGTCTCTATACGAATGACTTGAGACTGGTCATCCTCCCAATTGAGTATATATAATGTGTACCAATCTTTGTGAGTCACCATTGTCCAATTGGTGATCCTATGACCAGGAACATTTTAGGATATGATATTTATATGTATGGAAAGGTTTTGTGCATCTAACTTCTTTAGACCACTTTCCATTTATGTCTTAATCCATGGACTTGTTACTTTGTGTACGTTATGTATCTAAAGCAATGTTCTTTTCCATTTGATTATTATATATATTATTTCTTTAGAATTATCTATTTTATATTGGCTTCTAGGGCATATATCTAACAATTATTTGAAATTCATTTGTTTTCTTCCTTTCTTTCTTCTCCAAATCTTGGCATACAAGGGTTGTAATAGCCTAAATAAAGAATTTTACCTTACAGTGTCATATAAATCTATAAATATGGAATCCCTCTATCCAAATGACCAAATGAAGCCTAATTTTCTTCATTTTTTAAATATTTTATTTTTCATTTTCTAGGTTACATTTCTTAGTTTCATCCTTGCAAAAACTACTATCTCTCAGCTAGTTTGAAAGCTGGTGGCTCCACCCACCATCCCACCCCTTATGGGTATTTTCCTATGCTTTCTACTCAAATCGACTCCCTTTCGTTTCTCTTTGCCTTTTGTTGTTGCTTCCACTAGTGGCTTCTCCTTTTGGCCACCATCAAATCCCTATATGGGTAGTCCTCAATTTCCCTAAAATCCCTTACCCTAACTTTTAAATTTTCCCCATTTCCTTCCCCATGTTATCCTCCTCCATTTTCACATCTCTCCCTTCCATATCTCCCTCCTATCCATCTATCACTCTCCTCATCTCATTATTCGATCTGGAAGCACCCTATGCTACAACAAGTTGTCCTTACAAACATGTGTTAGGATTTTGGCTAAGCTATATTGTTAGCTTTCCTCGACAAACATGTAAAATTTAATTGTAATTTCTTATGCACCTAATCAAGCTCAATAAGGTAGAGTAATCTAGGTTAGTGCTAAGATAATCTATTGTGACTGAGATCAACTTCAAGATGGCTTGATGCAATCAAATCTTATTAATGGTAATTCATTTATGCATTGCAAACATTGTTGTGTTTGTTAGATTTTCTATATAAGTGTCCATGATTTTTCACACAACCTGAAATACATAGAAGACATACTTAGTACCAGCTTCCTTGAGTACACAATCTTAGAACTCATTCAATCGCAGCAGTGGCAACACAAGTAAAAGACACGAATTGCTTAAGACTTCTGCTATCTCTTAGAAACTATTTCAGCTTTCTCTTTATGATGAGATTAGGGTTAGAGAACGAGTCTGATGAGAGCAGGGTCTTAAGCTTATATAGGACTAGGTCAAGTCGTCTCTACTCATCACCAAAGGCTTACTTGACTAACACTCTAAGCCCATCAAGCAATTGTTCACGCAAAAGGAAATAAATAGGACCCCTTTAATTGGCTTCAAAACTTTCCTTATTCACAAGATTTTGGGCCTCAAGGTATTGTGCTAGTTCACAACCCCATTGCAATTTTCTTGACAAAAACAAACATATGAAATTTATTGAATAAGAGGATAAATAATTTTTCCCTTTCTTAGTTTGATACATTTTCTCGAAAAGGTAAATTGAGGAGATACTTTCAAAAGCCAATTACTATTTGTTACATGGCCTGAGAATCTAACCAAATGTTACATATGAATTGTTAATCACAAATTAAACTTCTATTGCAGCTAGCGCAGGTAAATATAGTTCCTCCATACATTTTGTATTTTTTTTGGTCTGTGTCCATACATTTTGTTTATTTGCTCTTACTTTAGGTGGTCTTTAATCTAACCTACCACCTCTCCTCCACATCGGTCCAAATCCCTAAAATAATGGAAAAGCAAAAACTTAAGGCATTGTTGTACAATAATGAAGGTATTTTACCTATATTATTGAGTGCGAATAGACATTGCAAACTAACCAAGCAATCCCTAAATTGACTAATAAAGAAAATGACTAACAGATAGAGATAGAATAATGCTGCAATGCAAAGCAATTTACACATTACACAATCTTATATTATAATTAATTTGAATTATATTGCACTAACTAATTTATTATATGAAACAAGAGATATAACGAGTAACCTATGATCGAATAGGAGATTTGTAGGTCAAGTGGTTAATACTCTCACATCTTGCAAAACGAGATTTCGTTCCTGAAGTTGCTTGCTGGTAAATATGAGTAAAAAACCTTTTTACCGCAAGTAAGACTGAGTCAAAGTCGGGAAAGAATCTAATTTATCTAGTTGCTCAATGTGAAGTGAAGCCAGCCACCAGAGAGAGAGAGGCAGAGAGAGAGAGAGAGAGAGAGAGGGAGCGCATTTCTAGAAAAAAGTGTGGGTAGAGGGAGGGGAGAGTACGTGTGCATTGGGTGAGTGTAGTGTCTCGTGGGTTTTGGTCGACATGTCAAGCGGTACCAGTCTTCTCTTGTCTTTGTATTATCAACTTTCTCTCTCTGTCACTCACTGACAGTCTTTCATGGGCCCCACTCCTCTCTCTCTGCCCACTCAGCTCTCACGGACGGCACCACCCTCTCTCTCTCTCTATCTTTTTTAGAGCTCATATGGTCCTCATACAATTATAGCATAATCATTTTTCACCTCATCAATTGCTGGCTGTAAAGGCAACTCACTTTTCTTTCTCTATATCTAGCCTTTACCTTTTCAAATCAAGCCTTTGATTTCATCTTTTAAAACTTTCCCACTTTTATTTTTTTAAGCTCATGTACGCACAAAGATTAGTTTTCACCACTTTCATAAGAAAAGGAAAAAAGAAGAAAATATTGATCTGTAGATATATATATTATTGAGTAAAAGGAGAGAATGGGGTCTAGCGGTCCAGCTGAGTCTATGGCTGACCGACTTTGGGAGAGCAGCCGTATTAGATAAAGGGAAGGAGAGAGAGAGAGAGAGAGAGAGAGAGAAAGAGAGAGAAGAAATATTCTCTTTTGCTTTCATTTTCTGTATGTTTGGCATTTTTCTTTCCAAGTTCAAGCAAAGTAAAAAGTTTTCCCAGAAAACAAAAAGAGCTTCATTTGGGTTCTTAATTTGTTCTCAGCGATCCAAAATTCCAATACATGCACTGAGATTTCTTGTATTGTCTTCTTAATTATAGTAGTAAATCCTTTTCTTTTTTTGTTTCTTAATTTGTTTTAGTAGTTTTAGCTTCTTCTCTTGTTACTTCTTTTGTCTTAGCAAGTTTTAGAACACAACCCGTTACTTCTAATTACTTCAGATTCAATATGATGTCCGAAGATGGGCTCTCAATTCCCTCCACCGTCAAAGGGTTAGCTCAAGAACTAAGTTCCAGCCCTAACCCTAACCCTAATACCGATAATCAACTCAAGAGGAAGAGGAATTTACCTGGAACTCCAGGAAAGTGTACTTTCATCTCCACCTTGCAACTTCACACACTTCACTTCTTTATCTTTGTCTATTGATCAACTCAATCTTCATCTTGTATTCTTTTTTTGAACTTTTTGTTTGATATTGGTTACTTCAATAATTCAATTGCAGATCCAGATGCAGAAGTCATAGCTTTGTCCCCAAAATCTCTAATGGCCACAAACCGATTCGTTTGCGAAATTTGCAACAAGGGATTCCAGAGAGACCAGAACTTGCAGCTTCACCGACGCGGCCACAACCTTCCATGGAAGCTCAAACAAAGATCAAACAAAGAAGTGATTCGAAAAAAGGTGTACGTGTGCCCGGAAAGGACATGCGTGCACCACGAGCCTTCCCGAGCACTCGGAGACCTCACCGGAATCAAAAAGCACTTCAGCCGAAAGCACGGTGAGAAGAAATGGAAGTGTGAGAAATGCTCAAAGAAGTACGCAGTTCAATCGGATTGGAAGGCTCATAGCAAGGTTTGTGGGACTAGAGAGTATAGATGTGACTGTGGCACACTTTTTTCCAGGTAACTGTTTTTCCAACATGTTCTCTTTAATTATAACAAAAATTCCCTACTTTATATGATTAATTTGGGAAAATAATTAATATATATATTTAATGCTCTCATCACGTAGAGGCTTTAATGGGGGTTCTATTTGAATTTAATGCTTTATGCACAATTCGGGTACCGATTGTTTACCAAATTTTGTTACACAGGAAGGACAGCTTCATAACTCATCGAGCTTTCTGTGATGCATTGGCGGCTGAAGAAAGTGCAAGGTTTGGCTCAGCTTCAACTACTAATATGAATCCAAGCTTCATCAATGGGTGCAATAATATTACCAACATTAACCCTCATCATCAACCACCAAGAATCCCTCATTTTATACCAATGTTTCAGCAAGAATTTTCTGGCTCGGACCCTGCTGCAGCCAACAATTCTCATCTCAATTCCAATGCTTTTATGCCGGAATTGGTGCCGACACCTTCAATGGACATGTTTGGATCGTCATCGTCATCGCAGACGCAGTGGCTCATCAACAACAATAAGTTCCCGGAAGAGGCATCGTTTAATCTCTCCATGTCATCTTCGTCGTTGGCTCGGGGACTTAAGGAGGAATTAGAAGAATCCAAAGGAAGTTTGTCTGAAACGATAAGTGCTTCTGCTACCTCTTTCTATAACAACAACAATCACCAACACCAACCCATGTCAGCCACAGCACTTTTGCAAAAAGCAGCTCAAATGGGATCTACAAGAAGCAACAACAACAACAATCCAGCAACAACATTCAACGACACTGCCTTTGGTTTCATGAGCACATCGTCCAATTCTTCCAACAATATGTCAAACCAGCTCAGTTCATATGGCCACCACCACAACAAAAATGAAGTTGAGAGCTTCAATGATTTGGTGAATTCCATGTCTTCTTCAACTCCAGCAACCACAATTCGAGACGGATCGTTGTTCTCTAGCTCCTTCTTGAGCAACAAACACTTGATGAATATGCCTGGAGCAGCCAATCAGATAAAACAAAGCCAAAGTGAGCAAAGTAGTCTAACTAGAGATTTTCTCGGAGTAGGAGGCGATGCGATTAGCAGAGTGCCCTTCTTTCAACAAGAGCTAGCCAAGTTAGCTTCAATGGGTGACTTGAGTCAATACACTAGTAGTGGTCATCAATGAGAGCCCTATATATTAATTACAAAGCTACTTAAAAGAGAGCCTTTGTTGGTCTCTATATACTAGAGTTTCATTAGATGAAATGTATACCAATGGAAACTAGATTAAGAGGATAACGAGTCTGAGTTTGCACTCAAAAAAGCGAGTCAACTCGGAGAGAGAGAGAGGGGCCAGTGCATGTTCATGTTGGGAGAGAGAGAGACTAAACAAAAAGAGACTTCATTGGCTTAAAGAGAGGGCCCTCCATGCATGTAGTAGATTTTTTTTCTTTTGTGTTTTCATCTTTGGAATTTTAGTCTTTCTTGTCATTTCATTTGATAAAAGGCTAAAGTTTAAATTGTGTCATGTTTGGTAGTGTGACCTATGTCGCTGCCTTTTCCTACTGTCAACATTTTCCACCGTCAATTTTAAATAAAGGAATCTAACGTACGTGGGTGTGGGCCTAATTAGCCTATTCACGTTGAGCTAAATGATAGCAGAAAAGTTTAATGACAATGGAGTTGGCTCTGTTTATTATTAGATTTGAGGTAATTTGCATTCCCAAGTAATAATGTTAGGTTAAATATACAATTAACAAACGTTTGTCAATTGTTGGCCTTACCTAATATGCCTTACTATGCGACATGCTTGTGATTTATAACTCTAATCCAGTTGAGTTTCAATTCTGCACTCGAGTTCGACTTAAAGTAGATTATCGCTTGTATAACCTCTACTCTAGTTATTCCTTGATTAAACAATGAAGCATTTAATTTTATGTAATATAATAATTTTAAAAAAAACACATGCTATTAATATATTATCAATCATGCATGTACCATACATTATTCAAATATAATCTCATTTTAGTTATCAACTCGAAAAATTATCAAAATACCATGGGTGAGAAAATGGTCCTTAGAAGTCATTTTACAAATGGGTAAATTTGTCTTAAAATTTTTGAAAATAAGGTAAGTAGGAAAATAGGAAAAGATGGTGGAAATAGCAGCACTCCTAAAAAATTAATGTAAAAAGGGATTAAGAGCAAAATTAGGGGAAAGTGGAAAGTGAGGAGTCTATAATTACCATACTGTATACTTTCGCTTTCGCTTTCAATTCTATATTACTAATTATTTTTAAATAATAAATGTATGTGGTACTTCACAAAGTCTTTCAATTCTGCATGATTATCACTAAGTATGTCAAGTCCATATATTTGAGACTCTATGTAACCCAGAAGTCTACTTTTGACACCCAACATTTTGTTTTTTTGGACAATTTAAATTCCAACATGATTTATTTCGTTTTCATAATATCTTTGCTTCGATATGTAGTATTGTTATGTTGTTAGGTTGTGGATTAGAATTTGGGATCTCTTCTAAAACGAGGAAGAAAAGTATCACTAAACTGAGAGCTAGGTAGTTATCAGTACAACATGATGATGAGGGAAATCATAACACCTTCTTATTTAGATTTTGTTTTTCTTTGAAAAGTTCAACAGCAGCTATTTGTACATACCTATAATATTTGTTCTTCATCTAATTACTTGGCGCAAATAAAGGGGAAATTGATGATAATACTGAGGAAATTAAACTACATGCTTCAATGTCGACTTCATGTCAAATCGATGTGGTCTTAACGTCAACCTTGATGGCTTGCGGACTTCCCAAGTTATCCAATGATGTCAACGAGAGGGAAATCATTGATAGTTTCTCTTATTTCAGTTTTAGTTTCTTGATCAGAAAGAAGAGAATGTTACTAACATGATGATGAGGGAAATCATGATGTTATTTACCAAACAAGTATTCAATTAGTTAAAGCAAAACTTAAAGAAACAAATCATTAATAGAACGATATTGAACTATCAAAATGATGATGAAAGCGAATGAAAAAAAGCCCGCCCTGCTTAGAGTATTTCTGGTCTCTGCCTAGTGTTTACCTTGTTTTTTCTTGTATGCCATATTAGCAATAAATAAGAAAGGCTTGAATTCCTTCTAATTTCTTTAATAAATTATTATCGCTTATAAGGAAGGGAGATAGGCTACTTGGTTAGTTCAACGATCAAACACTTATGTGTAGAGTGACTTGCCTAATCCTTTTAGCCTCTAACTACTGCGGTTTTACTCTGATTCTCTTTAATAAATTACTATTGCTTCGTTTCAAAGAAAAAATAAGAAGGTTCTTTTAGGAGCAATAGTTCCTCAACTTATGCCTGATTTGCATTTTGGTCCTCAAAGTTAAAAGATGACTCTTGTGGTCGCTTAACTTCACTTTCTCTCGCACTGTTGGTCATGACATCATAATGTTATATTTTCTGTCAAATATAAGGGCAAAATGATCATTTTAGGTAGTTTTCAATTATTTGTCTTTTTATAAGAAATGGTCCCTGCATCGTAGAGGATTCAAGGCGGTTTTGAAAGGTAGCCCCTTGACGAGTACAGGGACTCCCCAAATTTTTTTTGTTGGGGATAGGTGTCGGGACGGAAATGGTATTACCATACCCGACCTCGAACCGGCCTGTTGCCATCCCTATGAGTGAAGTTCGGGACTACCAAAGCCAATATTAGAGTTGGATGACTAAAATATAAATCGATTTTAAATTCAAGGATCATTGCTTCGAAAACGCTAGTTTTAAAATATAAAAAACATATTTTTTCATACACAGTTTTTACCAAACATCACAATGCTTAGGGTCACACTTTTTAACATAATAACAATAGGATACTACTTGCCTCCTTACTTGTAAGGAGATACTTCTCCTTCCTGTGAATCATAGTTTGACACATGCCAAAATAATTCATCAAAAACACAAAATGAAAACTTATGCACACATGGCACACTGCTATATATTGACAGGAATATAGAAGCTCCTACTTATATGGTAAGTAGGGAAGTATTTTCCATAACATTATTCAAACTAAAGATCAAATTAGTAGTTTTAAATTGCAATTATCTAATGCGAACAGTGCACCAACACGGAATAAGTTGGGTTACTTTTATTGGATTATACTCCTTAGATAACATCATATTTGAAGGGTTACTAAACATTTTATTCAGTCCAACCTAAATTTTCTTTTGAATTAATACATGGTGTAAGATTAAGAATTCTTATTATTTTTTAAATCCTAAATTGAATACTAAACCATACAATTGTATGACCTACACATATGTTAGTCAAAAGTGAAATTCAAATTTAATGAATAAGTGGATACCATTTGGTGTTATATTAAAAGCATCTTTTCCAACAACAAAAAAGTGGATTCTATTTCTATTAGAGATATGCAATTTAAAAGGTTTAAAAATAGTTTTATTGATTGTTGGTAGGTCACACTTAGATTGTGCATCAATTGATTGAATAGACATTACATGTAGACTTAGCATTACTCTCAATCTTCGAACGTATCACTTGGTTTACACTATGAAAGCATCTCCAACAGTAGTAGCATACAAAACTCTTTAAATTGAAGTTTAAATGTTGACCTACCTGCCAATTTGAAAGTTTTATTTGCTACTTGAACATTTTTTGCTCCAATAGACTCTTCAATTCAATTAATGCAATATCATGAAAACAAATAAAAAATATGAAAACATGTAAAAAAATGTCTATATATTTATTATATGAAAAGAAAAAATGTATGTTTTTAACATTTTCAAAGTAGATTTTGTTTTCTAAAAGTGAAATTAAATGTTGGCTTATTGGATATGCTCCATGTGCTTTCAAAATAGTCTCATATTACCACATGTTCTTTGAAATGTCTCAATATACCACGTATACTTTCAATAAGTCAATAAGTATCTCACGTTAGCTATTCCGTCATATTTGAGAGAAATTCCGCTAGAGAATGTGGCCCCCCACTTCTTTTCAATCTCATAACAAGGGAGAGGAAGGGTTAGTTAGGTTGAGAAAAGAGGGAATTCGGGAGAAGAAGGTTAGGTTGAGGGAATTTCAGATTTAGGAGAAAATGGGGAATTTGATTTGGGGATTTCAGATTTGGATTCAAACCATCCTTCTTCTCCCAAATATGAAATTCCCAAATCAAACTCCCAATTTTCTCTCAAATCCCTCATTTTCTCCCAAATATGAACCTCCAGATTCCCAAATATGAAATTCCCTCAACCTAACATTCTTCTCCCAAATTCCCCATTTTCTCAACCTGACTAACCTTTCCTAGAAGTGGGGGTCACATCAGCTAATAGAACTTCTCTCAAATCTGATGAAATAGCTATTGTGAGACACTTATTGAAAGTATAGGTGGTATATTGAGACATTTCAAAGAACATGTGATAATTTGAGACTATTTTGAAAGCACAGAGGGCATATCCATAAATAAGCCTTAAATGTTTGAAGAGCCAAAATCAATTTACTAGTCATGAAGAGAGAGAGAAAGAGGTTGCAGCTTTGATTACTAAGGTTGAAGAGGTTGTTTAAAAGAGTTTTTCTTATGTAGCTCACCTATTTTAGAATTCCAAAGCTATTGAAGAGGCTGTTGGAAATGCTCTTATGTACTTAGTTGTCAAAGTAATATTTGCCAAATCCCATAAAAGTCAATGCCAAGTATGCTTATAGAAATCATGACTTCGATAGATAAATCTTCTTCTTTTTTTTCTTTTTTTTTTTCTTTTTCGTTGTTGTTGTTGTCGAGTTTGGGGTGAATGGGCTACTATAATTTGCTTTTCTTCAAGCTGAAGCATTCATGACATGATCATTCTTATTCTGAAATAAATTCAAAATGGTACTTCGAAAGTGCAAAAGGAATGATCAAGACACATGCACTTTTCTGTAGGAATTTATACAGATTTCTCAAAATACACAGAATCACAAAATGAATGTAATACAAATACAGGTTACAATGAACAAACAAATTAACAACTCCATGAAATTCATTAGTTACACAGTATTTGGTATCTTATATATATGATCACAAACTGGCATATATAATTCCACCGTGTCTGTAAACGTTAATCCAACTCCAGCATAATATCCATAACAATTCTGTCACAAAAAGCTTATAGCTGCAGCAGCAACCACTGAAACTCCAATGGAGACAATGGCATTAATCTTGGGGATCAGACAAGGAACAGCACCAGACTTCACTTCAGCAACATCAGGAGTAGTGTCATCAGAATCGGATGATGAAGACTCCTCCTTAGGCTTCTCTTGTGCAGGTGCCGGAGCCGGTGACGGTTGGTGATGCTTGGGGGCAAAAACACCATAAGGCTGGAGCACACTGTTAACTTTGTAAATAGCAATTTGATTATCAGAGTAGACAGTGCCTGAAATGGAGGTGTTCACAAGGCCAGTGGAAATATTGACTGAACTGCCTGTTGTGGTAATGTTTAGTGGATAGTCAAATCCAGTTCCAGCTTGGGTTCTCACTGGATTGCTGAGAGTTTGAAAGTTTTGGATTGTGAGAAAATCTGGGATCAGATGGAATTGTAAGAGCTGCACTTTTTGCTCATCGCCCAAAGAGTTGAGTGAGCCTGTGCTGAGCCTTGAGAAGGCACTGTCAGTTGGGGCTAAAACGGTGAGTTGGCTATTTGAGTTATTGAGTTGGCTGTAGAGCTGTCTGTCAATTTGGGTGCTTTTTAAAAGGCGGATGAAGACATTGAAGCCACCTGCTTTTTCAAGGATCTTGGTGATGTTGGTTGGGCCTGGAGGTGCAGGGGCATCAGCTGGTGGTGCTGGAACTGCTGGCCCTGTAATTGATGGGGCAGCCGGGGCAATTGGGGCAGCTGGGGCAATTGGGGCAGCTGGGGCAACTGGGGCAGCAGGAGCAGCAGGAACAGCAGGAACAGCAGCAGGGGCTGCAGCAGGAGCTTGAGCTAAGATTTTGGTGCAATGGGAGAGCAAGATAAGTAGAAGTGTGAGTGAGAAAAGAGGCTGATGCTGAAGCTTTACCATCTTATTTTTGAGTGTGGTGGGGTTTTGGATGCTTAATTTGCTTGAAAACAAATAATGCCAGAGCAAGAGTGGTGCTTGCATGCACAAGGTGTTTGATATTTTGTGCAAGTGTTTGATATGAGTTTTGGGGGGAATGGAGAGGGTTTTATAAGTGGTGAGAGATGAGGGATTTAGGTGAGGAGGGTGATAATTATTTGATCAGTTATACCACCTTCAGTGTTAGCATGTCTGTCTTTGTTGGGAAGGTGAGAGAGAGGAAATGTAGAGTGAGATTGTGGTGTTAGAGCTACTAGTTTGCTTTCATCTAATCATTTGGTGTATATCATTTGCCAAGTGAGAGGGAATGAATGTAGTGAGATCGTGGTGTCAGAGCTACTAGCTAGCTTGCTTTATGTAATCATTTGGAGTTAAGATTTACTTCCAAATTGTTGGCGGTTAAGCTCTGAAATACAGTAGTGCGCATAAATATAAGAGAAAATAATTAATAATTAAATCGAACTCATTGAGTCAGTTTAGTTCGATTTTTAATTAAAAACATTTATTTTGAATCAAATTGTCTGAACCGTCAGCTCCAATTGTAATATTTTAGGTTCGATTTCTCTTCCTCCATACTCTTCCTCATTTCATATCTTCTAATTTCCTTATCTATCTTCAAGCATCATCGCTTTTCTCAAGTCGACTAAGCACTAATGCGTCATCGACGGTCGTCACCTCTGCTCTACTTGATTCAAACAACTCACTGCCTCATCTTCTATGTCGTCGCACCAAACTGAGTCTATCAAATTCAGCCATATTTGGTACAATTACACCAACTTTTTACCACAACACCTATTTGGTCTAAATTGACGAGTGGGCAACAATTCGACTGACGGTTAAAGATGTGGCACACGAACCAAGCTAGCTCGTGCCCACTCTACTAGAACGACATTTATACTAGATCCCAAGACCCCTTATAGGCCTATAACAATTTTAAAAATGCTTAAGTAACAATTTATTTAGAAATTAAAATGAAAAAAATGCTTAAATTACCTCTAAACTTAAGGACAAAAATTCATAAGTGACACTCTTCCATTGTCTAAGGGTGAAAAGGAGAGAAAAAAAAACCTAGGGGACAGCCAGAGAGAGAGAGAGAGCAAATGAAGAATTGAACTTGCACTTTTTTTTTGTCAAGTTCAAACTTTGATAGAAAACCCAAAAAGGGAAGGGAAACAAACCAGTAGCAATTACAAACATGGTTAACAGACAGCCCAGAAACTACAAACCGTTACACAAAACAAAAGCAAATAGCTAGTCTATGAGATGCCTCACCCTCAAATTGGCGATAGCTGCTGCCTCATGGGTACGCATATATTTTTAAAAAAAGTACTTCTCTTTATTTCTCAATCTCTCAGTGTCTCGCTGTCCCTTATACGAATATGAGATGTTAAGATGGAGATGTAACTAGTTCTCATAAGGCACAAAAGATTACACTTGGATCAGATAAAAGAATTAATTTTTCTGGGTGGTTTTCTTTGTTTTAGGTAATTTGACATGGGGCTTTAATGCAATGCATTCATGATTGTGTTCATATGCTAACGTATTCGTGATGATAACTCGTATTCTCAAGTTTCTCAGGAGACGCCATGTACTGATTTTGTGGAGGGAATTACACAAGTTTAAAATACACAGAAGCCCAAGATGAAATGCGCAAATGAAAATATTGCATTATAGTATAATGATTATACAAAGAAACAAAACAAATCAAGAACCCAATGAAATTCAACAAAACATTATTGGTCTCACATACAGATCACATTTCTGACATGCATAACAACAATTATTACGTACCCTTCAAATTCAAACCAACTCCAATTGGAACAAACAATTTTGTCAAGAAAAGCTTAATGCTGCTGCAGCAACCACAGCAACTGCAATGGAGACAATGCCATTAAATTTGGGGAGCACGGTAGGCACAGCTCCAGACTTCACTTCAGCAACAGGGGGAGTAGTACTAGTGTCACTGCTGTCATCAGAATCAGATGATGAAGAATTCAACTTAGGCTTCCCCAGTACAGGTGCTGGAGCTGGAGCCGGTGACGGTAGTTGACGCTTGGGAGCAAAAACACCATAAGGCTGGAGCACACTGTCAACTTGGTAAATAGCAATTTGATTATCAGAGTAGACAGTGCCTGAAATGGAGGTGTTCACAAGGCCAGTGGAAATGTTGACTGAATTGCCTGATGTGGTAATGTTTAGTGGATACTCCAATCCAGATCCAGCTTGGGTTCTCACTGGATTGCTGATAGTTTGGAAGTTTTGGATTGTAAGAAAATCTGGGATCAGATGGAATTGTACGAGCTGCCCTTTTTGCTCATCACTCAAGGAGTTGAGTGAGCCTGTGCCGAGACTTGAGAAGGCATCATCAGTTGGGGCGAAAACGGTGAGTTGGCTATTTGAGTTGTTGAGTTGGCGGTAGAGCTGGTTGTCAACTTGGGTGCTTTTTATAAGGCGGATAAAGACTTTGTAGCCACCTGCTTTCTCAAGGATTTTGGTGATATTTGTTGGGCCAGAAGGTGCAGGGGCATCAGCTGGTGGTGCTTGCACCACTGGCCCTGTAATTGTTGGGGCACCTGGGGTAGCTGGGGCAGCTGGGGCAGCAGCAGGGGAAGCAGAAGGAGCTTGGGATAAGATTTTGGTGCAATGGGAGAAGAAGATCAGTAGCAGTGTGAGTGAGAAAAGAGGCTGATTCTGCTGCTTCATCATCCTGTTTTTGAGTGCGGTGGGATGCGGCTTCGTAATTTGCTTGGAAACAATTAAAAACCACAAGGTGTTTGATATTTGGAGAAGATGTTCGATATGAGTTTGGGGGGAAATGGAGAGGGTTTTTATAAGTGGCGGGAAAGGAGATATAAGGTGAGGTGGGTGATAATTATTTGATGCAACCTTCGCAGTTAGCATGTCTGTCTTTGTTGGGAAGGTGAGGAGGGAATCAATATAGTGAGATTGTGGTGTTAGAGTTACTAGTTTGCTTTCATCTAATCATTTGGTGTTTATCATATGCCAAGAGAGAGGGAATGGATATAGAGTGGGTGTGGGATTGTGGTGTCAGAGCTACTGGTTTGCTTTCATGTAATCATTTGGGGTTTAAGATTTACGTGGGGTTAAGCTTTAAAACACAAGTGTGCACATAAATACCGGAGAAAAAATTGATTAAATCGAACCAATCAGGTCAGTGTAATTCGATTTTTAATTAAAAAAACATTTATTTTGAATCAACCATCTAAACTGATTCCGCTCCAATTTTAATATTTTTGGTTGGATTTCTCTTCCTCCATACTTTTCCTCTTTTCATATATATCTTCCTATTTTGCTTACCTATCTTCAAGTATCATGGCTTTTGTTCAGAGTCGGCTAGGTATGTGTCGTTGACGGTCCTCATTCTTAGCGTGACTTGTGCACTTGTTGACTTTCCTTGCATATCAAGGATTCCTATATTAATAATTGAATTCGCTTTATTTTTGATTTCCTGCTGTAAATAGAATTATGAATTAATTACTTTACTTGGTCTCCAAGACTTCTATTGTATTATAAATATGGCGTCTTACAAGGAAAAGTATACATAGAAAAAATTTTGACCAAAAAAAAATACATAGAAAATTCCCACCACAATTACTCTCTCATAATGTTAGCATGCTATCAGAGTTGCAATCTTGGGATTGCTTCTAAACCCTAGCCAAACTCCAACCGACACTGCCATAGGAGATTAGATAACCCCCTATAGAGGTGGCACCATCGATTCCTCTCCCACCAGACCTAGGATCTTAGCATACTTGACTTCAAGAATGACCCAGTTACTCACACAGATCCAGACTCAAATTCCGACACTGACACTAACCAAGACTCTGATTCAGACCCAAATACTGACCCAGACTTAGACCCAGACCTAGACTCCGATCTAGACCTAGATTCCGACTCAAACTATACCTTAAGAATCTTCTACTGCACATATTACAATTTCTTGAACAAAGACCCAGACAGATAGAGGAGGTTACACACACTGTAACAATAAGAGACACCATTGTGAAACTTGTTTCAAATTGAATGGCTACCCAGAACGGTGGGATGAACTTAAAGACCAAAAACGACGTGAAGCTACAAGTAGTGGTTCTGGTTATGTATTCCGTACTTCTGATAAGAGTGATTCCATGGGCTGGATCATTGATTCACGGCCAATTGCTCATATGACGTTTCATCCTAATGATTTTCTGAGTACCACCCAACCCAGGTGAACTAGTATTGCTAATGCCAATTGAGTTACTTATCCTGTGACAAGGGTTGACACTATTCCTCTATCATCCCTTCTCTCATTTTCTAATGCTTTACTTGTTGAGTCTCTATCTACTAAGTTGATGTCAGTTGGTCAGGTTACTGAACAATTGAATTGTTGTGTACTAATATACCCGAGTTTTTGTTTGCTTTAGGATATTCACACTAAGGAGATCATTAATCATGGTACAAAGAGAGGGGGCTATATTATGTGGATGACTTTAGTACAGACAGGGCTAACAGTGTTACACATCCTTCTAATAGCAAACAAAGGCAAATATGGTTGTGGCACTGTCGATTGGGACATCCATCATTTCGTTATATGAAGAATCTTTTACAGGTTTTATTCTCATATTTGAAGAATTCCAACTTCATATGCAACACTTGCATTTTGGTCAAGAGTCGCTGTGTGCCCTATCCTTTGAGTTCGAGTAAGAGTGTTGCTCTATTTACGTTTTCACTATGATGTTTGGTGACCCTCACCTATAACTGCTTCTTTTGGCTTTCGATAGTTTTTGACATTTTTGGATGATTGTACCCCCATGACTTGGCTTTACTCGATGAAGAATAAAAGTGAATTATATACCCTGTTTTAGTCTTTTAATAAGCATTTTCAAACTTAGTTCTCTTTTATGATACAGATTCTCCACTCCAACAATTGTGGCGAATGTGAGAACCATGATTTTCGACATTAC